ACATGGGAGTCCAGTGACATAGCCATTACGCTAACTGCTGGTCCCTCCCAGCGTGAGTTTTAAGCCACCCGGCTCGGGACTCAAACTGTGGTCGAATACATGGGAGTCCAGCAACATAACCATTACGCTATCTATCTGCTGGTTCCAAATTGAAAACTTTTTCAAAACTCATTCACCACTTCCAGAAAGTGACTCAAAATTGGGTTAGTTAAGGAAGCTGGATCCCATGGTGGACCACGCAATAGCTTGAAAAATACACCAGGTGTGTGTGCGTGCATGCCCAAGATTTTGAGAGGAGACCGGAGGAGAAGGGATTGTGGTGTGGCCATCCGCCCTGGGGGGTGATTTCTCGCTTTCTGTCTCTCTGTGTCTCTCTCTCTGGCGAGCGCTTGTGCCCTATAGCAAAAACAAAACAAAGCAAAAGTTATTTATTTATTTTTCTTTTTTATGTTTTGGAGAGGTTTTTGCTACAGGGGAGCGGAAAGACAGAGAGAGACAGAGAAACAGAAAGCGAGAAATCACCCCCCAAGGGGGATGGCCACACCGCAATCCCTTCTCCTCCATTCTCCTCTCGGGATCTTGGGCACGCACGCACACGCACCTGGCGTGAGTTGAAGCCACCGGGTCTGGGACGCAAACCACGGTCGACTACATGGGAGTCCAGAGACATAGCCATGATGCCCACTGCTGGTCCCCAGAAGTTATTTATTGACACAGACCAACTCTAACTGTGGATTGCCACCCAAGCAGAGAGAGATTCATGTCCGAGGAGGTCGGATGCCCATCACCCACCTGCCAGGTCCTAGCATGGAGACTGCAAAGCTCTTGAAGGTCCTCCAGTGCCCCCGGGGACAGTGCCAACTGAGGCAAGGGTCGGATAGTGGCCCAGCATTGGGCCGGCTCTCCGGGTAGTGCCAGAAGAGCTGGCCGGGCTTCGGCTTCTGTCCACTCTCAGCCCGCTGGCGCCAGCCAACCTCCTCCCGGCTGCCTCCTGGCTACCTCCCACCAATGGCAGGCTGAGCCCCTTGGTGACAGTGATTGACAGCCCCAGCCCCACCAGAGGGATCTCTTCAGAGCCAGGCTGGCCCTTTGCCCTCTCCTTCCCCAGTTTCCTCTACCTCTTGGGGATCCCAGGAATCATTTGACACAATGGCTGTGAGCCAGGCCTCGGACACAGTGTCAGCTGAGGCCACGGAGCCGGTGCCCAAGGTTAGGTTAGCGATGTGTGCAAAACGGGGGGTGGACGGGGTGGGGGTGCAAGTAGGCCAAGCTGGGGTCTCACGTCATGGCCCCTGGAAGGCACGGGAGTCTGTTTCTCATCTGGGAAAGGGGATTCACAGTCCAGTAATGAGAAGGCAGTGGCAGGGGGGGGACAGTTCCCCAGCACAGAGGTAACACAGCTCAAGAAAAGCCAGATCGGGGGGACCAGCAGTTAGCGTCATGGCTATGTTGGTGGACTCCCACATAGTTAACCGTGGTTCAAGTCCCAGACCTTGTGGCTTAAAGCTCACTCCGGGCGCGTGTGTGTCTGTGCCCAAGATCCCGAGAGGAGAATGGAGGAGAAAGGATTGTGGCGTGGCCATCCCCCCTGGGGGGTGATTTCTCACTTTCTGTCTCTCTCTCTGTCTGTCTGGCGAGCGCACGCGCCCTATAGCGAAAACCTCTTCAAAAAAAAAAAAATAAATAAAGCCAGATTGGGACCAGCAGTTGGCGTCAGGAGCCTTGAGGGGCAGATGTTGGGGCGGTGGGGGCAGAAGCTTCCTTCCGTCCACACGGCGTGCATCTGTGTGTTCAGGTGCCCGTTCCAACACATCGACCGGAGGCCAAACGCAGGGACAGACAGATGCTGATGAGGGGAGACGGACAGGAAAGGAGGAAGGTACCCAAATGAGGTGACCTCAGACGGGGTCAGAGGGCAGAGACGGCCCATACCTGGCGATGTGTCAGTCTCCCTGAGGAGGCAACCCGTGAACTGAAATCTGATGCTAGGAGGAGGTGGCCCAGGCGAGGGCTGCTCCAGGCCCAGGACACACCTTGTGCAAAGGTCCTGGGGGGGGAAAGCCGGTGTGGGGGAAACAGTGAGTAGGAGGATGAGGAGTGTGGAGGGGGACAGAGCCCAGGCCACACAGGCCTCATGGGGTGCAGGGTGAGATTTGGTTTTCTATGGAGGGTAATAGGGAGCCATGGGCAGATTGAGAATTATGCTGGGCCAGGATCTCAGGATTCCTGCACCTCGGGCTTAAGTGGAAATGGCTCAATGGCATCCACTCCCCAGACGACAAATGAAAAAGTGACTGGGATCGGCAGTTAGCGTAATGGCTATGTCGCTGGACTCCCATGTAGCCGACCGCAGTTCGAGTCCCAGACCCGGTGGCTTAAACTCAGGCTGGGCGTGTGTGCGTGCATGCCCAAGATCCCGAGAGGAGAATGGAGGAGAAGGGATTGTGGTGTGGCCATCCCCCTGGGGGATGATTTCTCGCTTTCTGTCTCTCTCTGTCTCTCCAGCAAGCACATGTGCCCTGTAGCAAAAATCTCTGTTTTAAAAAAGAAAAGAAAAAGTGGGTCTGGCAGGTGGCGTGGTGGTTAAAGGCGAGGACTCCCGCATGGTTGACCGCAGCTCAAGTCTCGAACCTGGCAGCTTGCTTTCTTTTTCTGTCCCTCCCTGGTCAAATTGAAATAAACAGATGGATAAATAAATAAAGCTAAATAAAAGAACTCTTTTTTAAAAAAGAAAAAGATGGGACCAGCAGTTAGTGTCATGGCTATGTCGCTGGACTCCCACGTAGTCGACCGCGGTTTGCATCCCGGATCCGGTGGCTTAAAACTCACGCCGGGCACGTGTGTGTGCGTGCCCAAGATCCCGAGAGGAGAATGGAGGAGAAGGGATTGTGGCGTGGCCATCCCCCCTGGGGGGGTGATCTCTTGCTTTCTGTCTCTCTGTCTCTCTCTGTCTTTCTGGCGAGGGCACGCGCCCTATAGCAAAAAGTTCTCCAAGAAAAAAATAAGACTGCCCAAGGTCACACAAGGGCCTGCATCAGAAGTCAAGCCAGGGGCAACCTGGGGTGAGCACAAGATCCTTCTCCCGAGGGTGAGTTGAGCTGGTCAGAGGTTCCTATCCCTGTTGAGCTCACAGGGCCCGCCCTGCTGTGGCTGAGATCTGGACACTCCGGAGAGGTGGAACCAGGGCGATGTTCCCCGCACCCAGCACAACTGCTATCTTCCAGGACTGATTTCTTTTTTTTTTCTTTTTCTTTTTGGAGAGGTTTTTGCTATAGGGCGCGTGCCCTCGCCAGAAAGACAGAGAGAGACAGAGAGACAGAAAGCAAGAGATCACCCCCCCAGGGGGGATGGCCACGCCACAATCCCTTCTCCTCCATTCTCCTCTCGGGATCTTGGGCACGCATGCACACATGTGCCCGGCGTGAGTTTAAGCTGCCGGGTCCGGGACTCGAACTGTGGTCGACTACATGGGAGTCTAGTGACGTAGCCATGAAGCCATCTGCTGGTCCTCCCCAGTTCCTTGTTTTATGGAGGAGCAAATCGAGACTTAGAGATCATGTCATTGGCTCAAGGCTGCCAGGCTGCATGGGAGTTAGATGTTGAGTCTTCCAGCCCCCTGAGGCACAAGCACCCCCCCCAAAAACAGCCACCTTAATGACCACAGATCCCAGGTCCAACCAGGTGCCAGGGTCACGCTCTCTCTGGCCTCAGCATCCTCTCTGAGGGCAACAGCAGGCCATATCTCCCAGGCTGGCCTCAAAATCCTCTTTGCTTCCCCCAGCAACCTCACGGCCTCCCTGAACATCTGTCCCTCCCCATCACCTGCAGCCCCCCCCCCACGCCCAGCCTCATGACACAAGAGACTCCCAAGTTCATCCAGTGGGTTTTTATTATCAGGCACTGCGGCTGGCCTAGGCCTCGGAGACAGGCAAGTCACAACCTCCGGCCCTTGGCCAACACGACGAGATGTCTGAGATCCATTTGACAGGTGACAAAAATGAGGCTCGGGGGCCCGAATGACCTTGGAGGAGCGGGCGCCAAGATCCCAACCCTGTTAGAATTGCCGGCAGACCCCTGAGATGGGCCCGTCTGCCTGTCTGATTTCAGACGGGACAGCGGGCAGTTGGGGACAGGCAGGACAGGGGTGTCAACGATGCCAACCTGTTATGAGGAGGAGGAGGAGGAGGTGGGGGCTGCCATGTCGATGTACCTGCCAAGGCTCCCCTCCCTCCAGCTTTTCTCTGGAAAAACACTTCTCGGGCATGGCCAGCAGATGGCGCGGTAGTTAAGGTGCTGGACTCCCATGTGGCCAATCACAGTTCGAGGCCCCGACATAGAGGTTTGAAAATCACACCAGGCACACACGTGTATGTACCCAAAATCCCAGGAGGAGAATGGATTGTGGCCTGGCCATCCCCCCAAGGGGGTCCCTCTCTCTGTCTCTCTTCAGGGAGCACATGCACACTTTGGCTAAAATCTTTTTTTTTTTTTTTTTTTAAAAAAAGAGGGACACGCAGTCGGCTGGAGGGTCAAGTCGCC